GGACTGATTTAACTGGATGTTGAATTCCCGTTCGACCGTCTGAAAAAAAAGTATTTCAAATCATAGTGAATGCCTCGACAAGAACTTTTCACGCTTATCGAGAAGGTTGTAAGGTTAAATGAGTTTAATAAGAATTCGATGGAACTTACGGCGCTACGTATGCATGGAAATATTATCTAACCGGTCGCACCAGTAATTAGAAAAGAAATTGATTATTCGAAAGTTGAAATAATTGCGACCAAAGCTGACATTTTTTATACGTGTCCCTTGAGATTAGCTTGCAATTTTTAATTTCTACTTTTAATATCATCTAAACAAAAAATAAGATTGATGAAAAACTACTATAATATTAAAGATTAATACGCAAATGTTATGTACAAATTTCAGAGTTATTGATCAGTTTGTTTTCAAAAATGTAGCGGAATAAAATTCATAATTTATGGTAATACTCGAAATACATCACTGAGAAACTCATTTAGTTGACTCGAACAAGATTCTTGTTTGGATATGAGCAAACGAACCTTAAATTTACACGTGGTTCCCTTGATGCGCCATTGAAAATATCGAATCTTTCAACCTTCTTAAAAGATACATTCCGTCGCGTACAGTGAAATTGTCAATTCAATGCCGTTGAAAATGACGGTCGTTCTTACGTCATCGCAGACGCAATAGCGCCGGGGAAGGCGCGCTTTCCCTCGTGACTGCGCGTTTGTCTCTCAGAAGCGACGACGTCGGGTTAGTCGCCCGTGACGTTTCGGGTGTAACGCGACGACAACCGCGCAACGCGCGCGCCTCTTTAGCCGGTGGCAATTGCCTCGGCCCAGCAAACGAGTCTACTTATCTCGGGGCTGATTTACCACCCTCGCGAGCGCTGCCGCAACGGCGCTTTTCACACGGCGGAGTGAGCAATGGCCCGAAACGGGCGGAACAGCTTGTTAATTAACCCGATTAAATCGTCAGGCATTACTTTCGTTCTGCCATCTATCCGCACCCTCTCATATCTCCGTAATATTTTCATAATAGGGGACGGAGGGGGAGGCCGTTTTGCTCCCTAGAGTGTCGTAAATTCGAATAATCGAGTACGCTTTATTATATAATTTTCGGCGTAATTTCAAATTTGTATATCTCCGCTCTACGAGAGACAATTATATACCGTCGTTCATTAATTTCAATGCGGCCTCGTCAACATCCAACTATCGCCGGTTCCGGTTCCAGATCGCTGAAGTTAAGCGACGTCGGTGCCAGGACGGGCGGTTTTGATATCCATTCAGGAAGAAAGCGGACAAATTTTTCAATCTTCCCTTCGAGAAAAGAGAGAGAAAGAGAGAGTATGCGCGAACAGTCATAGAACGGAAAATTGTGGAATTCCATATAAAAATTTTCCCAAATTTTCCTACCTAGGACGTAGATTAGAAGATTCCAAGTTGTCCCGAAATAGGTTTATTCCACTGTGATATCATTTAGAATCCTATTTTTATCCCAAACATGTGGCCTGTTTTTTATAGCTAAACTGGCTGTACTAGTTCAAGAAATTTACGCACACCGAAGCGTGAGAATCTTGTATGTATGCTTCCATGTGTACGTAAATTTCTTCAACTGGTGTAGCCAGTTCAGCTATAAAGAACAGGCCAGTGGAATGAAGCCTCTTTCCCGCTGATTGGCTGTGCAACTTACTCTGTGCATCGTCAGAGTCGAGTGACAGCCGGGCCGAATATCAGATTAGGAGGTTAATAAACGAGGTTGTATTTTTCACGTTACTATTTTTAATAGAATGCACGTACAGCATGTGTATGTTTACTGGTGATGTGTCCTATTCTAGTTTATATTTTGAGTATTTTAATCCACGCTGTATACGGGAAAATCTGGGAAAATTTCTATGCGGTGGGATAGGTCCATATATATATATATATATATATATATATATATATATATATATGAATGCGTAGAAAGAGAGAAAGCGACACTCGACGAGACTCGTGTTTCCGAGTGGAATCGTCGACCGCACCAGGTGCCGGGCGTCCTCACGAACAAGAATAATTACGCGATTTCGCGGTGGCGGTCGGAAAAGGCCGGAAAAAGGGGCGCGCGTGCGAAAGGGTGGCGGAAAAGCTGACATCGGTTTCGCGGGCGGACGACGACGACGACGATGGTGGCAGCGGCGACGGTGGTGGCTACGTGCTTTACGAGGACAAGCGGCTTAGCCAGCCCAGCCAGTGGACATAATTCATCCGGCGTAACTCGGTGTCTCACTCCGTTACCAGCAACACGTTCCGACGCACTTCGCGTGGAAGGTGGAAATAGGAGGAAGTTTCTCTCTCTCTCCCCCTCTCTCTTTCTCTGCCCTTATTTATGGTATCTCGCGACTGTACATTCAGATTCGGTCGGGGTGCCGCAGCGCGCGCCCCGTGCACAGAAAATGGCCTTTGCCAAGGCGAGCGCGCGGGCGTTACAGCATTATTTACGAGGTAAAGCTCGCGCACGGTTAGCGACGGCAGCGACGGGGGGTGGCCCGAAATCTGCGACCGCTCGCGCCGGAGTTTATTCCTTTGGCGGGCTCGGCGAATTTAGTTCCGGATTGCGCGCCCTCGTCGCTCGCTTCCTCTCGCGGTTTAGATAGTTGCACGTTGACGGACGCGCTTAAAAGCGAGTTTCGCCAGTTGAAACGTTATTAGCGCGTCGAGGATGCGTTAAGATCGGAAATCCGCGATTGGAAAGTTAAATTCGCCTTTCTTACGAAAACAATGCGGCGCTCTCGCGGCAATTGGCAGGCGTGGAAGTTTCGCGGCTGGTGAAATAAATGGAAGAAGGTGCACGCTCGAACTCCACGGGCGGATAGATATTTTTCCACCGGAGGAGATTCAAATTCGCGCGGACGACCGTTGGATAATCGGGTAACTAACGGTGAATGAAATTGACAATGGATCCGTTTTATTTGATTAATAATCCGAAACTCCGTCGGAGCTCATTGCGGTTTCGAGAGACGGTGTATATTCGCGTTAGAATATCCCTCGCGACGGGGGAGGTTCACGGCGCGAGTCTCCCGTGTGGTTAGCCGTAGGCCGCGTGAAAATATGAACTTGGTAATTTGCGAGGTTCCATACCGTGTGCGAGGCGAGGGAGAAGCGTTTCACCGTGAACAAATCGAATGCGGCGGAAATTAGCGCCACGGCGGGTTTCACGGATCCGTCTTGTTGTCACGAGAAATAATTGCCGCGAGGATTCCCGCGGACGAAGGGGAGAGAGAGGCTCTCTCCTCGCCTTTTCCCGCGGGGTTATAATACCGGGACGAGAGGCGCCCGAGGTTATTAGTTTAGGAAGCTGCAAAGTACCCCGAAACAAAGTCCCGCTCGCCCGCTCTCTCCGTCTCTCCAGCGGGTAATCAATATATACAAGCGACGACCTCCGCCTCGTTTCACCTTGTCGGTTTAGCCCGAACCGAAGCGGCGAGAGTAAGCGACGGTCCGTTTACTTGTTCCGTTCGTTCCAGGCGTCCGGGATAGCCGGCAGACAAGCAGTATCTTTAGCTAATAAACCATCCCCATCCGCACCCTCCTACTGCGCCTCTTCACCTTCTCCCTCTTATCAAGGCGGTCGGCCAAATTATAATACGCCTATCTCGTGTTTCCCTCCCCCCCTTCTCTTCCCCCTCCCCGAAGCGTTCTCGAGCCTGATCGCTTTTCATCACGGAGCCGATTACGCGAGCAGCATCCTCGGACACCCTTTTTGCCAACAGCGTTCTCGGATATCTTCTCTGCGGGCCCCTCGATTTACGTCTGATATACTTTCAATCGGACAGATCGGGGAAGTAAACGCTCGAAGGCGGCTGATCCTGTTGGGGACACGCGATTTGACCCATCTCTTTTTCTTATGATGTCATATGGTCGGTTCTTTTTAGCTGAACCGGCTGCTTCAAGAAATGTACGCACACTGAAGCGTGAGGATCTCGTATGTATGTGCTTCATACACTTCAATGTGCGTAGAAATTTCTCGAACCGGTGCAGCCAGTTCAGTTAAAATGAACAGACTATTATTCAGATCGACCGATTTTCCCTTTTTTTTTTTTTTTCACAGTTGTTTTGTGCGCACGTTGCAATTTGTTGCTGAAGCAGCATGTCAGCAACGTCGTTCGGTTTCAACTCGAATGCCGCGCGTACTTTGAACAACACACGGAAAAACACACCTAGGCGGGATTTTCCTCTTGCATTGTGTTTTTCTTTTTTTTTTTTTTGCACGATTTAATAAGTACGTTCAACACGAAATAACATCTGCGATGCGTTTCGAGCTTCCCGGTAATTTTTGCAGATGTCTGGCGAGCATCTGCCCCGATTAAGTAGTTTAACCTGTAATTTATCCCACCGGCAACGGTCGGCCGCTCGCAATTTACGCTTCAAATTGAAATGTAAAATCGTCGTGGCGCACATTGGATTTCTGATTGAGACTGTTCGGGAAGAATATGAACGGGATATATCTGTCATTTGTAATGCCCGCTTGAAATGCACGAATACGTATGCAAAATTACGCGTTAATCTTATCCTTGCGAATTACAATTCATTTCAATCTCTTTCTTCGAATTTCGAGCTTGCGTCGCGCGTAAGTGCTTGTTATCCGCAGTTATTTGCGACTTCTGATACCTCGCACCTGATTCGCCGAGCTATCGCGGCAACACTTCTAGTAAAAAGTGTGTCGTTTGTTTGGAATTATCAGGTGAAACGAGTCGCTCGCGAGGGAACGCCGAGAGAAGAACCGTGCGTATATTTCGTGAGTTATGAAATGCGCGGCAGTTTGCGCGTTATTTCGCACGAATAATACGTATTGTTGATAATAATGGAAATGCAGTCGGTTGATACTACAAGGAAAAGAAGAACCGACACACACGTACTGTAAGCTAAGCTCGGCAAACATTGCGCAATTCACGTCGCGTACGCGTCACATTTTGTTTGCACGGTATTAAGCTGCGGCCAGAGAGCCGGAGGATAATTCTGTTCATTTCTCTATTTCAGTCCAAGCAGTACGGCGCTGGGTTCGCTGGATCAACTGAAGGAGTATCTGACGACAGTGGGAACCTGCAAATGCGGTCTCGAGTGCCCGTTCAGGCCCGAACATGTCTTCAACTTCGACCCCAAGGTGAGTACAGATCAAATCAAAGGGAGTCAGTCACGTTTATATTTCCAAAAATGCACGATGCTACACGATACTAAATTTTGTGTTAAATTTCATTTTTAACGCAAAATTATAAACGCGTTAATCGATAGTGAAATATAAAATATTATTTTAACACACATATTGAATATCGACTCATAATATTGAGATAATATAAACACAACATGTGAAATTGACGCCACGGGTGTGTTAAAAAGTTGACCGAAAAATTTTAACAAGGACTAATTTTCACGCAAGTACAAAATACTTTTTATCGCATGAGGAAATACGTAAATGTTTTTCTATTATTCTTAGTAAACCGTGGTTTCTGCCGTTTTACTATTTTTATTTTTTTTATCTTATCGCTTTAGCATTAAACGGTCGGACGAAACTTCGCAGACGCGTAAAAGTACGCTTCGCGAATGACTTCAGCTAAAACTATTTAACCAACGCCAAGATGCCACGCTATTTAAGACGCAGGTTTCCATCGGGTTGAACATTTATCTTTACTCGTCAAATCTTTATTCTAGACTTGCGCGTTTCTTTGCGATTCTATAGCGTGTCTCCTCTGAAAGAGGGGGGAGGGGAAGGCTGCGCACTCACATCCGTTCGCTTTGTGGATACGTTTTCACGACGGCCGAGAGCGGCTAAAGTCACCCGATTTCACGTCCCGATTGCGTTTTCGTTCCGCGGCAAATGAGAGAGAATGGGTCGACGCGCGATGCTCCTGTCGCAATCAGCGCGGAGAGAAATCTCCGGAGCCGACGTCGCGCGCGGTGAGTTAATACACGGCCGGCTCGTCACGCGCGTGAGTCGATACGCGTCCCGACCGGCCAGGTAGGGCTGCACGCCGTGTGCAACATAGGCGGTGCCGGCGCTTATTCGGGACGCTCATTACGCTTCGTTCTTTTACATTAGTACGCAAGTTATTCCGGCGCGCACATCGCGGACGGTGAAAGTCCGCGGAACAACGATCCGTTATAGCCGCGTGTCACGAGCGTGTGGCATAATGCGCGCTTAATCGCCGGCAGCGGTTAGGTGTCGTTTATTTATTTATCAGGCGCGCGCGCCCTCGTAATTGGCCCGGCCGTGCCACGTATGTGTACGACCCGGGCCGTGACTTAGCGGGGAGAAATATCGCCATTGTGCGTGCGAACGACGACGTCTTGCCGAGAAGTATCGCCCCGTGCCGATCTCACCTTCTCCCGAATCGATTAGGGAGAGTAATTCTTCCTCGCTCGTTGGTTCTCTCTTCTTCCTGCCTGGAGATCAGGAAGAAATTATTCCTCGCGACCCGGCCGAAAGAGCCAATTAAGTATTATCAACGGAGCGTCAACGGAGCGTGCAGCACGATACGCGCATTTTCGAGAGATAAAAGGTCGCCTCTCGTTATGCATTACGTTGCTCGTTATATTTCGCACGAGCTTTCGGAGCTTCTCGAGTTTCTCGTTTTCATTTTCTCTTTGCGTTTTTCGTCGTCTTGAAAAACATAGACGATCAGAAGGCGCTACGTTTAATATCTCGCGAATTATCGCTCAATATTTAATATATATAATGAAATTAATTTTTTTTCATTGAAAACGAAATATTATTTCCATTAAGTATGTTGTGTGTGTGTGTGTTTTTTTTCCTATCAAACAACACGGTTCATCCTAGTGAAACAACATTTTCATGCAAACAAAATGATATATTTGATATTAAATTATGTTGTTTATATTAAATAGATCCAAATCAAACATATACATTAAATCCGAAGAAACCCTTTTCTCTGTAGAATCAAGCGAACATAATTACTTGCCTTTCCAACCTCTTAAGTCAAGTAATATTTTTATCAATTTAAATATATTTTAATGGCTTGAAATACTTACGTGAACGCAATAATAAAATGTATAATTAATGTGTAAATAAATTACTGAATGTAAATGTAAATTGTTCTCAATTTAAGAGAGTATTTACTAGAAAATTATATAATACTTTTTTCTACTGAAGAAATTTAGTAGTTTTAAATTTCGACTTTTCTGTTCGGTAAATATTTCTTAAATATATTTCCTGATATTTTCTCAACATTATGAATTTAACATTTGTCTTAGACACTTGAATTGTTTTAACACATACAAGTAAATATCTATTTATATAAAGGAAATATCACGTTATATATACACAGTCAATTATATTTCTGCTTCAAATAAATATTATCCAAGGAGTGTTGAGGTAACCATTTTACTTCGATCAAGTAAATATTACTTGAACAGCAGCGTTTTTTTTTTTTCCTGTCAGTGTGAGCGTCACTTAATAACCCGTTCATTATGTCATTTACTCTTAAGGTAATAAAAAATTCCAAAAAAAAAGAAAAACAAGAAGTATCACGAAGTACCTCATCATCGCTATACTTATCCCGTTGCAAACGAGCCAACTTGTTCCCATCCATGTGCACTTAACGACGACGTTTTATTATCCGGTACCGGTTTGACATTTTCTCAGATTCATCGCGAAACCCGACGATCCCGCCGATAATTGACATCATGCAAATTTGCGCGAAGTGGTCGACGATAGATAGACAGATGGTTACGCATTCGCAGCAACTTTCTCGCGACATTAGGTCAGTTCCCATTTAAGAAACGGTCGCGAGATTACCAGAGACCCGTTCACAGTTAATAATAACGCACGCCTTATTACCTTTGCCTCCGCCGGCCGTCAGCGACGCGACACGGGGAGGGAAGCAACCAGAAAGATATATCGCGTTGATGCGTGTTAACAACGGCATCTTATTAAGCGCTTTCGTTTCCTGGCGATCTAATGCTCTCTCGATTCCGCCGAAGACTGTTTTCTCTCTCTCGGCGAATTCGGCGGAACGGCGATGAGTCACGTCGCGGAAACGTTCCGGAAAATCGTACCTCTCACGAAACATCGCCGCGAACAAAACACAATCGGGCGCTCCGCCCGCTATTTCTGCGCCGCGCGCGACGTAAATACGTAATTTTTCTTACTTCCGCTATTTAGATATTTATGGTGCGTTCGCGAGAGCGCGCGCCGGCACGTAGCCCGTGCAACGATCTCGAAGAAATATCGCGATCGTGCGTGCCAACGATCGCGGCTTATTAAGAAATATCGCGCTCGGGGCACGTTACCTCGAAACGAAATATATATATATATATGTGTGTGTGTATATGCGTGTCGCATTGAAAAAGGGCGTTCGCGTTTACTATACGCCGTCTCTCGCGCGCGCTCATCGTCGGCAATCATCCAGGACGATCGGGAATCCGTCGCTTCGCGGCGATGAATTAATCGCACTCGCGGGGTGAATTTCCGCGAGCACGCCGGTATCTCGACGGTGCGAAAGGGCTACAATAACGAGGTTAATTTCTCGCGGCGGGCTTCCGCGCGCGTAAATTAAAAATTCAGGAGAACACCGGACGTGCCGCGCGGTTCTTCCCGGTAGACAGAAGGAGAACGTCGCGCGCAAAGAGGACGATCATCAGTTTTGCTTAATTATTCCGGTAGCATGCGACGATATACGAGGAAAGCGTATAATTATCCGCGCACCTGCTTGCTAACCACTCACTCAGCCGCTCTGCTCGCCGTCCTACGCGCGGCGCGCCATCGTCTCGGTGCGTTAATACATTCCCTAATTAAAGTTTATCGTGTTTCGCCGATCTGATGGGGCGGGAGAGGGAAACTCCATAGGTACACCGATCCGGTACGCCGCGTCGACGACATAACGATCAACGCGCTAATAATTAATAATCATTTGCATATCTCTAACACCGTAACACGAACGCGATACGATCGCATCAGGTTTATCGAGTTTAGCTTATGATTATCGTCGACATCAGCCGTCGTTCCTCCGCGCCAATTGCATGGATTCCGCGGCTACGCGAGATCGATAATCGGACTAATCGCGGAACGGTCACCGTTCAGCGCCATTATTTATATCTCGATCGGAGGAGAAACGCGCAAAGCGCGAGCATGAATATGTTAATACTCAAGTGCAAATATGTCAGTATAAATATGCGAGTGTAAACATAAATTAAATATAAGTGTTATAATGAATACGTATAAGGTTACTAATTCTTATCGTTATTACGATGACGTTTCTCAACATTTCCCAGAAGCTACTGTTGCGCGCGGGGAAGATTCCAAGATATCCAGATCCAAAATGTTTGCATCTATATTAATAACAACAACAACAATAATAATAATAATATAATTAAATGCAAATACTGCCAATCTTGAAAAGTTGATGATAAATCTCGGCACTGGATAAATTCTATTGTCCTACCTGTGATTTAACAAATACTTGTTTCTTCTATTTTTCTTTTTCTTTCTGTTAGAGCGTTTGAGGAATTTACTCAGGAATTATTTGATATTTTATCGCCAACGTATTAATTAGAAAATTAATACCTACCTGATTGAAATAAAAAATTGAGAAAGATCGAATGCATGTAGATTATTGAGGCAAACAAATAATAAGTACTCTTTAAATCAATACTTGTTTATACTTCAAAACAAAACAGCTCCAAGTAACCATTTGTAGCAAAAGACAATAGCCTATATAGTGTTACACCTCGAGATTCTTCCATTGGTTTCTCTCCAAATTAACGGAGTACACGGGACTAATACGAAATCCATAATTTCGACTCGGGTGGGGCTTGCAAAATTCAACTCCCCGGCCATTCTTTCGGATATGTATGTATTCCGATGGTATTGAAGGACTTGAAAATAATAGCGAGCAGCGCGACTTGCGCGATCGTACCGAGATATCTCGGGCGGATTTCCGCGGTGTCTCGCGCGAGCAAAACGGACTGTCTTCTTCTTCTGGCACTCCGGCGGGCAGATCGTATCATCGTGGTATCTACAATGCAAACTCGCCCGGACAATACCACTCGAGCGCTCGTCCATCTCGAAGGAGAAGAGGAGCTGGAGGAGAAGTGTTGCGGATTGCCGAGTGAAATCGGCACGGTGCCCGGGCACTTCGCGCGCTGTCT